TTTGCAATATCTAGTATATGTCTGAGTCAAGCAGAAAAGGTCAGATAAGGTGATGTTAGGGAAATGAACCCTAAGATATGTATTCAAAATTTTTTATTTCATGCGATTGTTTCTAACACATTTATAAGATTACTTCTTTGTTGCTTTGTATGTCCCTCCCCCATAGTATAACCCCTGCTTTCACTGTATTTGATGGTATAATTTGTCAAAGGGAAGGGGAAAAACAAATCATTTAAATAGGGATACAGGTGGACCCAATGCAACAATGAGATGTACAAGCCGTTATGTCGAAAACTGCAACAATGAGATGTACAAGTCCTTATGTCTAAAACTTTACAACTTTGGTGGGGGGGGGGGTGGAGGGGGGGATTGGAGGGAGTGAAGGGGGGGCAGGGGGAGGATGGGAAGGGGAAACAAAGGAGGAGGCTACAATGCTTGATAAGAAATGTACTCATTATCTTGCCCATGTAATTGTAACTCTTTTGTACAATATTTTCACAATTAAAAAAAAATTAACCAAAAAAAAAAAGTCCTGTGAAGTAAGGAGGTCAGGTATGGCTGGCGCCAAATTTGCCACATGGTGGCCTATAATATAAGTCTGGCATCCCCTCCCCATCACCTGCCTCCCAGGTGATGGATGTGCCTGGACCCCTGGAGGCAGGAGTAGGCCACTTGGCTGATTGACTACTGAATCTGTCAGTCCAGTGCCTGGGACTGGGAATTTCCTGAGGATCTGCCCCCTGTGCCAACCTGTTTAGGCCCTGACCAGCCTAGCCGCCAGCCTATCCACCAGCTCTCCATTGGTGCTTGTTGGTATTGTTTTTGTTATTTCTTTCCTCTTTAGCATGTTTCCTACCTGTGTTATGTGTATTTGCGTGCTGCAGGGCTTTGCAACAACTGCCGGCCTGTAGCCTGTTATTTTACAATGTGGCTTCTGGGATGATTTACCTTACAATACTGTAGCTTGAACTCAGGGCCTGAGGACTTTCTCTGAGTTGTTTTTGCTCAAGACTAGCACTCTACCACTTGAGTTTTGAACCACAATCCTCAGATCTCAGCCTACTGAGTAGCTAGGATTATATGGGTCAGCAACTAGTACCTTGCTGTGTTGTGTGTGTGTTTGTGTGTGTGTGTATGTTGTATCTGTGTATACTGGGGCATAAAACTTGAACTCAGGGCCTCGTGCATTCGCTTTGTCAATGGCTTCCGGTGAGAGTTTGTGACGCTTCTCCCTAGACACCACTTAGGGTTTTGCTCCCAGGTCCTTGACTTCAATCACAGAATAAGAGTCACAATGGTAAAAGCAAAACAAACAAAAAAGTGGCAGAGCTTTATTAAGTCAACAAGCAGGCAAGCAGAAATGCAAAGGCAGGCTCTAACAGACTGTGAGTGCTCAAAAGGAGACACGTGGAGCTCTTTGACAACAGAGGTATATGCATATACATATACATATATATATATATATATATATATGAATGATAAAAGTGAGGCAGGATAGATTAGGGAAAATGAGGTCATGGTAAACACTTGCTAGGAATTCAAAAAAACTTAAATACAGGAGATATTTATCCATCTACTTTCCTTAAGATTAAGGGACCAGCTAAGAGCTGGTGGCTCACGCCTGTGAGGCTGTGATCTGAGTATCACAGTTCAAAGCCAGCCAGGGCAAAACAGTCACCAGGTTCTTATCGCCAATTAACCACTAGAATACCGGAAGTGGCGCTGTGGCTCAAGTGATAGAGAACTAGCTTTGAGCTGAAGAGCTCAGGGACAGTGCCTAGGCTGTCCCACAACCAACCCCCCCCCCAAAAAAAAGGGAGAGAGAGAGAAAGAGAGAGAGAGAGAGAGAGATTTAAGGGACCAAAGTCATTTTAGGGGAAAGTGAGGCCCGGTGAAGGCAACCCAGAATCAAGGTATTTAAGAAACATAGGAGCACTATCTTTGCTTCTAAGATAGACACCAGGATGCCTTCTTTTGTTTGGTGGCAGGATGCACCACTTACTGAAAGACATGTCCTTTGAAATTAAAGGGTGGACCTAAAACATAAACAACTAGGATGGTAAATAAGATCCAGGAACTTGGGGCTGGGAAGGTAGCTCAGTGGTAGAGCGCTTGCCTTGCATACATGAGGCCCTGGGTTCGATTCCTCAGCACCACATAAGAAAAAAGCCGGAAGTGGCACTGTGGCTCAAGTGGTAGCTAGCCTTGAGCTGAAGAGCTGAGGGGCAGCACCTAGGCCCAGAGTTCAGGCCTCATGACTGGACCCCCCCCCCCCCCCCCCGCCAAAAAAAGACCCAGGAACTTAGAGAGTATAACAACATCAAAAGTGATTGAGAGCAGAGATAAATACCCATTTTTTGCATAACTTTAAATCAGACCACCTTCCTTTATCTTATAATAAATACCCTTGATGCTACAGAGCTTTCCTTTCGAGAGCACTCACTCTGTTAGTGTGCCCCTGTCTTTTTGTCTGTTTAGCTACTTGTCTCTTGCTTACTTAATAAAGCTCTGTCAAGTTTTCTCCCCATCATGACTATAAGCTTATTCACCCCTAATCTGAGTTGCCAGCCTTTACCCTGTGTCATCCACAGGCCAGGCCTGGCCACAGTTCTCTATTCCCACTGGCCCAGGCTGCGTCAGCAATATAATCTGGATGCACAGTCCCAGTCACAGGTGGGTCCTAGTGTATAGTCGCAAGATGTTAACTCTAGAATTGTCTGTGCTATAGAATGTTTCCCCTGGCTACATGACAGCTATAAAATGTATTGTCTCTGCTACATGCCAGATATAGGATGGTTTCCTGGCTGCAAGCTAGCTATAGAATGTCCTGCCCTGGCTGTCTGATATTTCCAGTGTCCAGCTATGACTACAACGTTTTTTGCCTCAGATTTCCTGCCCCAGACCCTTCTGCCTTCAGACTCCTGACAATATATTTACCTCTACGGCTCGGCTCTGAGAGCAGTTAGCAACTCTTTATTCCAAGAGAGATAGCCTGTTAGCTTCCAGCTGACATTAAACGCTTCTTTCTTCTATGTGACTGTGTATCTGAGTGGTTTTCTGGGTCAGCGCTTACAATGACTTGTTCAGAAATTCTTATTCTGCGATCACAGTCAAAGACCCTGAGTGAGGAGTCCCTACTTCTAGAGGAAATCCTCGCAAACCCTCACGTGCATCGGGCATAGTTTGGCTTAAACGTTATTGTAGGATAAATGTTTTCTTTGTCTTTGCACCTGGTATCCCGTTACTCTTGGTGTTGCACTCTATCACTTGGGCTCAGGTCTCATTAAACTTTGATCTTTCTGTTTGGGCAGCTTCCTTCAAGAAAGAATGCATTCTGCCATATATTTTTAAGACAGATGTTTACCGGAGATTAAATACTTTGTGCCAGGAGGAGTCATTCTCCTAAGTGTTTGCTTCTCCAGGATTGATGTCTTTATTTATGTTCCTGCTCAGTTTTCAGAGCACACTCATTATTTGGGGCCAGGAGGCAAGGTCAGATGGAGAAAGCTGTTCTTCCTCTTTTCTTTTTCCTTGTGCTAATACTGCAGCTTATGAAGGAGTGTAAGTGGTATACCATGTTTGTTTCCAAATTCCTGGCTGGCATTTACTGTGCCCTAATCTATCTCGCCTCAGCTTGCTTCGCCTTTACCTCTGGAACCACAGCTCTACTTTTGTTTTTTTACTGGTTCCTTGGAGATAAGACTCTTGTAGACTTTCCCACATGGGCTGGCTTTGAACTATGATCTTCAGTTTTCAGTCTCCTGAGTAGCCAGGATTACAGGCATGAGCTACCAGTGCCTGCTGATTACAAGAACTCTGGAACAAGGACACATGATGGCAGAGACCTCCACACATGCCGTGGGAACAGAAACCCCTGTATAGAGCTTCTTTTAGATCTTACCCAATGAGTCTCTATTGGCTGTTAATTTATATCCTTTATGGTACTGTTTGTATAATATATAATAACCAGAAGCAAAAAAAATCCCAAAAAACAAAAAAACCAATTCCCTGAATTCTGTGAGCCACTCTGCCAAAGTACTGAACCTTGAGAAGGAGGTCACTGCTTATAGCTGGTTCATCCCTGTGCAGTCAGACATACCAGGGACCAGGACTTGGGAAATAGAGGCAGTCTTGGGAGCCTGAGCTCTCAAAGAGGCCATTGGTCACTGGCTTATAATTACCTCCATTTGTCTCTTTGTCACTTTAAACACCTCCTCTGAAACCCCAGTCTCTGAGTCCACTTTTTCTCCCCAGCTGTCACCAGGGATTAAAAGGACAGGCTTTATCCATAACATCTCTATGACCAGGGACTGAAACTGCCCCTAAGGAATGGCAGTCTGTGAGGACTTGCCATACCCAAATGAGGGCAATTATCTGCTTTAACAAAGCTTGCCCTCAAGCAGGAGAAATCACCTCAGGGGAGCCAGCCTGGTCCTCTAAAGAGAAAACTAATTCTTCACCCATTCAGAACCAGAACTGGACCACACAGGCCCCTCACAGGTCCCACCAAGATCAACCACTCTGTCTGTTCTGGATGCTCCAAACTCCTCCTTTAATACTCCTTTCCTCTCTCCCTCCCTCTCTTCCTTATTTCCTTCCCTTCCTCCATCCCTCCCTCCCTTCTTCCTTTCTTCCCTTCTTCCTTTCAACTTTATGGGCTGGGCCTGAGGCTTGAACTCAGTCTGGGCACTCACTGTCCCTGAGCTTTTTTGCTCAAGGCTAGTGCTCTACCAGCTGAGCCATAGCTCCATTATCAGCTTTTTGGTGGTTAATTGAAAATAAGAATCTCATGGACTTTACTGCCTGGAATGGCTTCAAACCACAACCCTGAGATTTCAGCCTCCTGAGTAGCTAGGATTACAGGCATAAGCCACTGATGTGGAAGATGGAATATAATATTTTATCTGGATTGTGTAAAATGGATAATGAATGATTTTAAGATATAAATGTAAGTGTGCTGTGGATAAGACTTTCCTGGTAACTAGCTCTTTTAGCTAGTAACTGTAATTGTAACTCTGTAACCCTATAACTCTAACTCTGTAACTCCACTTCTGCTGTTTTCTGAGCAATGGAAGTCCTAACCCAGGGGAACCATCACCACCCTTTGTTCTAGTCCCCTGATTCCCTCCAGCAAAACCTTGGCGGGAAATTTAAACTTAAGGTGCGAATTTCTTGTAACAACCATTGGCTAAAAACAACATCCAGCCTCCCCCTTCCCCCACCCTAACCCAAAATGCTTAAAAGCCAATGTGGGCTGGCAGCTGGGGCTATTTCCTGGGATCCTGACTCCAGGTGCGGTCTTGGCGTGTGAGCACTTTTTCCTCAATAAAATCTTTTATATTTTCACTATGGACTGAGTAGTCTCACTGCCCCTCCTCACTATACCACCAGTGTCTGGCTTTCTTTTTCCTTTTCTTATTTATTTAGCCTGTCTTCAGGCTTGACCTCAGAACCAGAAAATACTATTCTCCTTTAGATTTTTCACTCAAGAAACAGAACTCCACCACATGACCAACACTTCCACTTCTGGCTTTTTGCTGGTTAACTGTACAGAAGAGTCTCACAGATTTTCCTGCCCAGGGTAGCTTGGAACTGTGATCCTCAGATTCAGCATCTCAAGTAGCTAGGATTATAGGCATGGCACCTTACTTGGCTTTTTAATTATGGATGGGTGGTCTACTTCTGTTGAGATTCCCAGTGTTGGGCTTAGGGTTTCATTAATTTGTGGGGTCTGCTACTAAATCCAGATAGATAATGTCAGAATTGAATTAAATTTTAGATTCCTAGTTGGTATATAAACAGCTGGAAAATTGAAAATATGCTGTCAGAAGGGATGAAGTTTGTTTTTTTCCCAACAGAATTTTTTTCCCCCAATCTTGGGACTTTAACTGAGGGCCTGGACACTGGCCCTGAACTTCTTTTGCTCAAGGATAGCCACAGAACCACTTCTGTTTTTTTTTTTTCTATTTATATGGTACTGAGGAATCGAACCCGGGCTTCATGCATGCTAGGCAAACACTCTACCACTAAACCAGATCCTAGCTTCCCTTCCTCCCCCCCCCCGCCCCCCCACCATCCTTTTTTAATGTAAACATTTAAAAGACTTATGTTTGTTTGCATAACATGATTGGGAAATAAGTCCACAAAAATTTTCAGGAACCTACTTTTCTAACCAAGTTCTCCCTTTTTTCCTTCTCCTCTCCTTCCTTCTTTTACCCTCCCTTCCTCTCCCTTCCCTGTCCTTTCCTTCCATTCAAACTGATGATTAATACTGTTGTAATATAGAATCAAAAGAGCTATTACCACTGGCTGTGAGTAGTTCATGCCTGTAATCCTAGCTACGAAGGAGCCTGAGATCTGAGGATCAGTGTTCAAAGTCAGCCTGGTCAGGAAAATCCCTGAGACTCATCTCCAATTAACCAGCAAAAAACTGGAAGTAAAATTGTGGCTCAAGTGTTAGAGTGCTAGCCCTGAGCAAGAAAAGTTCAGGGATAGTGCTTAGGCCCTAAATTCAAGCCCCAGGACAAGTACATGTGCCAGCTCTCTTTCAATATACTTTCCCTTTCTCTGTTCTAAAATTATACCATGCATAAGCAGAAAAAAAAAAGCCAGAAGTGGTGCTATGGCTCAAGTGGTAGCATGCTAGCCTTGAGCTGAAGAGCTGAGGGACAGTGCACAGGCCCAGAGCTCAAGCTCCACGACCGACCCAAAAAAATAAAAATAAAATTATACCATGGATGGGTGGGGATAGGAAAGTTGGGGAAGAATGATAGAAAGGGTGACATAAGCTGGGCGCTGGTGACTCATGCCTGTAATCCTAGCTACTTAGGAGGCTGAAATCTGAGGATCACAGTTCAAACCCAGACTGGGCAGGAAAAGTCTTATTTCCAATTAACCACCAGAAAACCAGAAGTGGCGCTGTGGCTCAAGTGGTAGAGCACTTGCCTTGAGCTGAAAAGCTGAGGGACAGCATCCAGGCCCAGAGTTCAAGGCCCTCAACCAACACACACTCACAAAAAAAAGGGGATGGGAAGGTGGCTCAGTGGTAGAGCGCTTGCCTTGCATGCTCAAGGCCCTGGGTTCGATTCCTCAGCACCACATAGGCAGAAAGAAAAAAGCCGGAAGTGGCACTGTGGCTCAAGTGGTAGAGCCCTAGCCTTGAGCTGAAGAGCTGAGGGACAGTGCCCAGGCCCAGAGTTCAGGCCCCATGACTGGACACCCCCCCCTCCAACAAAAGGAAGGAAAACGGTGTCATTAAATTAAGATATATTTTACTGATAAGTACAGATGGCTCATGCCTCTAATCCTAGCTACTCAGGAGGCTGAGATATTAGGACTGAGGTTCAAAATCAGCTTAGGCAGGAAATCTGAGAGACTCTTATCTCCAATTAATCACTTAAAAGCCAAAAGTTGAGCTGTGGCTCAAGTTGTAGAACACCAGCCTTGAGCAAAATAGCTAAGGGATAGCACCCAGGCTCCAAGTTCAAGTCCTAGTAATGTCACAAATAAACAAATAATAAAATGCATTGTACTTCTATTGACATGTTGAAATGAAATCTTTTTGTAAAACTATTTAAAGGTAATAGAAAAAATTATATCAGATGCTAAGTAGCAGTGTGTGATTATTTAGTACGTATAAACATACCTTCAGAAGTTATGGAAACTCTGTTTTCCTGTGAGGAATTTAAATTTAATGCCTTCAGTTTTTTGCAGGTACACACATGTTGGAGAGCAACATCTGAGATATCACAGCTCCGGAGATCTAGGATTTGCACTTCAGGATGTAAAATCTGCAGCAAATACAGGACTTTGAGAAATTAATTTTCTATAAATAGACATATATCCGTATAGATATATTTAAATAATATACATTTATATAATTATATAGTATATATTCACTGAAATATTTATAACATACATTTATATATTAATATTTACTTATATTTATGTAGATATATCTATATGTATAATTATATATAAATAGATGTAATATATAAATTTTATGAAGATATTTCTTAATATTTAATATAAATATAGACTAATTTCATGACAGATGTACCACTGGGAGAAGATACAGCAAAGAATGTAGAAACAACCAGGTGCCAGTGGCTCATGCCTATAGCCTGAATAGCTAGAATCCTAGCTACTCAGGAGGCTGAGATCTGAGAGTCATGATTCAAAGCCAGCCCGCGCAGGAAAGTCTATGAGACTCTTATCTCCAATAAACCACCAGAAAACCAGAAGTGGTGCTGTGGCTCAATAGAGCACTAGTCTTGAGCTAAAGAGCTGAGGGACAGCGCCCAGGCCCAGAGTTCAAGCCCCACGACTGACAAAAAGAAAGAGAGAGAGAGAGAGAGAAAAAGGAATGTAGAAACATGTGATGAGGAGATAGACATAGAAAACAAGGAAAAATCCTCCTCTGCTTCCTGCTGGAGGTACAACATTCCCAAACACAATATACTGATAACATGGCTGGAGATGACAAGGCTAGAGATGGTAGGATTGTTGGACCTAAAAAGCGTGAGCTCTGGCAGTGAGTGACAGTCCTCCCCACACAGCACCCAGCTGTAATTAAGGACTGGCTCATACCTGTCACCTTGGCTGTGCAGAAGGCTGGGAGGGTCTCAGCTCCAGGCTAGCCCTAGTCTACAAGACTCCAAGTCAATGGAAGAAGGGGGGCAAAGGGGGGGCCTTGGTGTCTGTCATTCCAGCAATGATTGGAAATAGGAGGATCCCCCAGTAATCCGGGAGCATTCTCAGGCAGGAAGGGAGACCACATCTCAAAAATAAACAGGGTTGCTGGGTGCTGGTGGCTCATGCTTGTAATCCTAGTTAGTCAGGAGGTTAAGATCTGAGGATCTTGATAGAAGATCAGCCAGGGTGGGGAAAGACCATGAGACTCTTGGCTTCAATTAACCTCCAGGGCTGGAAGAGGAGCTGTGGTTCAAGTGGTAGAGCACTAGCCTTGAGCAAAAACAAAGCTCAGGGACAGGCCCTGAGTTCAAGCCCATGACTGGCACTAAGGCAGGGGAATATATACATGGTTTGCTTAGAAGTAATACACTTAGCCGGGCACCAGTGGCTCACACCTGTGATCTTAGCTACTAAGGAGGCTGAAATCTGAGGATCATGGTTCAAAGAAAGCCAGCCCGGACAGGAAAGTCCATGAAACTCTTATCTCCAATAAACCACCAGAAAACCAGAAGTGATACTGTGGCACAAGTGGTAGAGTGCTAGCCTTGAGCTGAAGAACTGAGGGACAGTGCGCAGGCCCAGAGTACAAGCCCCAACACCACCACCAACAACAACAACAACAAAAAAAGTAATACATTTGTCCAGCAAGGAGGAGGCTCTAAGTTGAAACCCTAGTGTTTAATAACAATAAAAATTAAAATATAATATCAATGCATTATTAAAATAATGCTGTATTACTAAAACAATACCATATTACTATATTTTATTAATAAAAGATAAATAAAATTGGGGTTGGGAAGGTGGCTCAGTGGTAGAGCGCTTGCCTTGCATGCTCAAGGCCCTGGGTTTGATTCCTCAGCACCACATAAGCAGAAAAAAAAAAGCTGGAAGTGGCGCTGTGGCTTAAGTGGTAGAGCCCTAGCCTTGAGCTGAAGAGCTGAGGGACAGTGACCAGGTCCAGAGTTCAGGCCCCACGCCCAGACCAAAAAAATAAAATAAAATAAAAAAGATAAATAAAATAAATGAAGGCCTAGACTTACTATTAGAAGAACCTGGGTTCCAACCCCGTGTTCTCCTGTGACCTCCAATATTAGTGATTTTTATGTCAAGTAGGAGTGAGTGATTAATTAGAGGGTTTCTTTAGGTTTTGCTCTATAACATCAGAGAAATTCATTATGATGGGGTTATAATTATGCTCTGACAGCCTATCTGACATCTGAGTTGTAATTTCTTGGAGCATTTCATGGGAAGAGTTTTGTGGGTTGATTTTTTTTCCTGAACTTTTTAAACATTTTTTTCCCCTTCTTACACTTAAAAAAAAAAATACTTCCTGCTGTAGCCAGGGTAACAGGCACACAGCATCACTCCCAGCTTCTACCAAATGGGAGTCTCAGCTGGGTGCTGGTAGATCACACCTATAGTCCTAGCTAGGAGGCTAGGATCTAAGGATCTCAGTTCAAAGAGAGACTAGGCAGAAAAGTCTGAAAGACTCTCCAACAAATTAGCAAAATGCCAGACTGGAAACATGGTTTAAGTGGAAGAGTGCCAGCTGAGACTGAGGAAGTGTCTTGTGGACTCTTCTGCCTAGGCTGGCCTGAAACAGAAATCCTCCTGGTCTCAGCCTCCCAAGTAGCTCAGGTCACAGGTGTGAGTAAGCCCACTGGTGCCCAGCTGAGGTATGGGCGCATCACTGTGGCCCATCTCCAGGCCTCTTTTATCAGCTCAACAGGGCTGATACAAACTGAGGTCAGACCTCCAGCATTCTGGCTACAACAGAATGTACGGGGGAGGGTGGTATTTGCTGCTTAAACAACAACAACAAGATATTTGCAGAGCACACCTATTTCTAAAGAAAACCAAATTAGATTATGATTCCTAATGCAGGAACAGAAGAATTAGAACAGCAGGACCAAAGCATAATAATATGCTGAAAGAAGGGCTGGGAAGGTGGCTTAGTGGTAGAGCGCTTGCCTTGCATGCCTGAGGCCCTGGGTTCCATTCCTCAGCACCACATAACCAAAATGAAAAAAGCCAGAAGTGGCGCTGTGGCTCAAGTGGTAGAGCACTAGCCTTGAGCTGAAGAGCTGAGGGACAGCGCCCAGGCCCAGAGTTCAAGCCCCATGACTGACAAAAAAAAAGGCATAAAAAGATAAACTGGAAATATGAAAAACAGATGGAAAAGAGCAGGATAGGCAAAGTAAATAGACAAGGGTCCCTGAGCTTTTGTGCTCAAGGCTACCTCTCTACTACTTGAGCCACAGCTACACTTCTGGCTTTTTGGTGGTTAATTGCAGACAAGAGACTCATTGACTTTCCTTCCTGGGCTGGCAAACTCTGATAATCAGATCTCAGCTTCCTAAGTAGCTAGGTTTACAGGTATGAGCCACCAGTGCCAGGCTTCACTTTGCTTTTGTTTATTCTATCTTCTAAGGATTAGTTGACAGTAAAGCATAGCTCACAAGGATTAATCGCACACTGAATTGGTAAGGAATGAACAAACAGTCTCTTCCCAGCACTCCTTAGTCTCAAAGTATAGGAGGTCACACCAGAAGGAAGTAAATCAGAAAGGCTAACCATAACAAAAGCCACACAAGAAATTTTAATTGACACAAAAGCTTTGACCACCTGTATGTACTTTTTTTTTATTTTTTATTTTTTTAGATCAACCCAATGTGAACTAGGTAAGACCCACACAACCAATATTCCAGAAGAGGTTATTTTCAGAATACTGGAAAACCAGAAGGCTGTTTGGAACCCATATAGTTTCCCTTCAAAAATTATGCAAAAGACTCTGTTAGGAGCTGGGCACCAGTGGCTCATGCCTATAATCCTAGCTTCTCAGGAGGCTGAGATCTGAGGATCATGGTTCAAAGCCAGCCTTGGCAGGAAAGTCCATGAGACTCTTATCTCCAATTAACTACCAGAAAACCGGAAGTGGCACTGTGGCTCAAGTGGTAGAGTGCTAGCCTTGAACTGAACAACTGAGGGACAGTACCCAGGCCCAGAGTTCAAGCCACACGACCACCCTCCCCCCCAAAAGACTGTTAGGGCTGGGTGTGATGTCTCTCACTTGTAATCCTAGCTATTCAGGACGCTGAGATGTAGGGATCAGGGTTCAAAGCCAGCCCAGGCAGACAAATCTGAGCTCTTATCTCCAATTAACCAGAAAAAAAGCTAGAAGCAGAGCTGTGGCTCAAAACCCTAGCCTTGAGCTTAAAAGCTCAGCAAGAAACAAGGCTCTGAGTTGAAGCCCCAGTACAGGCACAGAAAACAACAACAACAAAAACCCAAATGTAAAGACTTCTCACTGAAGGCAGAACCATATGACATCTTGTTTATAAAGCTCATTTGTTGGAGAGAGTCCTTCAGACTTTTCTGCCTAGTCTCTCTTTGAACTGAGATCCTTAGATCCTAGCCTCCTAGCTAGGACTATAGGTGTGATCTACCAGCACTCAGCTGAGACTCCCATTTGGTAGAAGCTGGGAGTGATGCTGTGTGCCTGTTACCCTGGCTACAGCAGGAAGTATTTTTTTTTAAGTGTAAGAAGGGGAAAAAAAAATGTTTAAAAAGTTCAGGAAAAAAAAATCCAGCCTATGCTGACATCAAACCACACTCCTCAGATCTCAGCCTCCTGAGTAGCTAGGATTACAGGCGTGAGCCATCGGCACCTGGCTTAATGAATTTCTTTTGCTAAAGGCTAGTATTCTGCCACTTCAGCCACAATTCCACTTCCAGCTTTTATTTTTTTGTTGGTGGTGGGGCTTGAACTCAGGGCCTAGGCTCTGTCCCTGAGCTGTCCCCTGTGTTCAAGGCTAGCGCTCCAGCACTTGAACCATAGTGTCACTTCCAGCTTTTTCTGAGTAATATATTGGAGATAAGTGTCTCATGGAAGCTGGGTGCCAGTGGCTCACGCCTGTAATCCTAGCTACTCAGGAGACTGAGATCTGAGGATCGCTGTTCAAAGACAGCCTGGGCTGGAATATCCTGTGAGACTCTTATCTCCAATTAAAACACTAGAAAACTGGAAGTGGCTCTGTGGCTCAAGCAGTAGAGCACTTGCCTTGAGTGAAGAGCACAAGGACAGCGCCCAAGCCCCATGACTGACAAAGAAAAAAAAAAAAAGAGTCTCTTGTACTTTGCTGCCTGGGCTGGCTTCAAACTGGATCCTCAGATCTCTCTCAGCCTCCTGAGTAGCTAGGATTACCAGCATGAGCCACAAGCACCCAGCTGCACTTCCCATTTTTTTTTGTTGTTGTTGTTGGTTGTGGGGCCTGAACTCTGGGCCTGGGCGCTATCCCTCAGCACTTCAGCCCAAGGCTACTGCTTTACCACTAGAACCACAGCACCGCTTCCGGCTTTTCCTGATTATCTGTTGCTGAGGAATTGAACCCAGGGCCTCATACATGTGAGGCATGCACTCTACCATTAAGCCACCTTCCCAGCCCTCACTTCCATTTTTATTTTTGGGGAGGGGGGGTCCAGTCGTGGAGCCTGAACTCTGGGCCTGGGCGCTGTCCCTCAGCTCTCTCAAGGCTAGCGCTCTACCACTTGAGCCACAGTGCCACTTCCGGCTTTTTTCTTTTTGCTTATGTGGTGCTGAGGAATCGAACCCAGGGCCTCATGCATGCAAGGCAAGCACTCTACCACTGAGCCGCCTTCCCAGCCCCTCACTTCCAACTTTTAAATGGAGATTAAGTCTCACAGACTTTCCTGCTTGGGCTGGCTGCGAACTGTCATCCTCAGATCTCAGATCTGAGTAGCCAGGATTACAGGTATGAGCCACTGAGACTGGCTGCTATATGATTATTTTTAGATGATTACTAACCCTACTGTAATTCCTTTGCTTCAGAACAATCAGAAACTGTGTCTTAACAGTAAACTATAACCTGCTTTACCGGCGAGCACACTCTTACCTCACTTATATTGGAATCTGTTATCCGCCCTTGTGTACTCATTATCTTAATCAGCCTATCTTTTATGTTGGGAGGCAAAGGCTTAATGTCTGTGATGTATCTGGAAATGTTCTCCATGAAGCACCAAAGGCACCTGAAATACAAATACAATCACCAGTTACAGTGTTCCTACTAGTTGTTCTTGTTTTCTTGCTGTGCTGGTACTTGGGCTTAAATCAGAGCTTTACATTTTTGCTTGTGTTTCTCCCCTTCCCACTCAAGGCTGGTGCATTACCACTTGAGTCATACCTCCACTTCCAGCATTTTGCTGGCTATTTGGAGATAAGTGTCTCACAGACTTTCCTGCCTGTGATGGCTTTGAACCATGATCTTCAGATCTCAGTCTCCTGAGTAGCTAGGGTTGCAGGCGTGAGCCACTAGCACTGAGCTGGTTGCTCCTTTCAATGCTGTGTATTACCATTTTGCTTTTTCATGAACACGATTTACCTTTTCATTACTGTTTAAAAAAATCTTGAAAAAACAGAAAAAGCCAGAAGTGGTGCTGTGGCTCAACTGGTAGAGTGCAAGCCTTGAGCAAAAGAAGCTCAAGGACAGTGCCCAGGCCCTGAGTTCAAACCTCAGGACTGACACCAAAAAAAAAAAAAAAAGAAAAGAAAAAAGAAAGAAATTATTTGGCTGGGGAGGTAGCTTAGTGGTAGAATGCTTGCCTAGCATGCATGAAGCCCTGGGTTCAATTCCTCAGTACCACATAAACAGAAAAAGCCAGAAGTGGTGCTGTGCTCAAGTGGTATAGTGCTAGCCTTGAGCAAAAGAAACTCAGAAACAATGCCCAAGCCTGGAGTTCAAGATCCAGGACTGGCAAAAAAAAAAAAAAAATCTCGATTTCACAGGATTCTAAGCGTAGCTGGGCACCTGTGGCTCACACCTGTAATCCTAGCTATTAAGGAGGCTGAGATCTATGGTTCTCAGTTCATAGCCAGCCTGTGCAAGAAAGTCTGTGAGACTCTTATCTCCAATCAACCACTAGAAAACTGGAAGTAGTGCTGTGGCTCAAGTGGTAGAATGCCAGCCTTGAGCTGAAGAGCTGAGGGACAGTACCTAGAGTTCAAGCCCCATGGCCCCCCCCCAAAAAAAAACAACTAAACTAAAAAAAACCCTCAGTGTATGTAAAGTCAAAACACATTAAAAATTAATAAAAGGAAGTAATTTATTTAGTTGTCCTTTTCCTAATTCTTTTAAATTCTAAGACATGGTTACTAGCACCCAGATTTGAAGACCACAATTTGAACTTGGTACCTGATACTTTTTGCTCTTTGGCTAATGCTCTACCAGCTAAGCCACGCCTTCAACTCCCAGCTTTCAATTATATCTTCCTATATCAACATTAAATTGGAGGCTACTCATTTCAAGTTTTTATTTCTTAATCCTGCACTGTTTCTCTATTTTGTTTTTTTTTGTTTGTTTGGGTTTTTTTTTAACTGTATTTTTTTTGTCTTTTCTTTTTTGGTACTGGGGATCGAACCCACGACGTTGCGCTTGCTAGGCAAGCGCTTTGCCACTGAGCTACATCCCAGCCCTCTTTCTCTATTTTGTTAAAAAATTGTGTTAAAAGGGGCTGGGAAGGTGACTCAGTGGTAGAGCGCTTGCCTTGCATGCTCCAGGCCCTGGGTTCGATTCCTCAGCACCACATAAGCAAAAAAAAAAAGTGGTGCTGTGGCTCAAGTGGTAGAGCGCTAGCCTTGAGGTGAAGAGCTGAGGGACAGCGCCTAGGCCCAGAGTTCAGGCCCCACTACCGGACCCCCCCAAAAATTTGTTAAAATATTTTGATAAAAAATTATATGGGTTTAAAAAAATTATGTGAAGCCAAGAAACAGTAGATCACATCTGTAATCTTAGCTAAGATCTGAGAATCGTGGTTCAAAACCATTCTGGATTAGAAAGTCTATGAGACTGTTATCTCCAATTAACCACCAGTAAACCGGAAGCAGTAGTGTAGCTCACAGTAGTAGAGTGCTAGTCTTGAGTGAAAAAGCTTAGGGATAGCACCCAGGCCCTGACTTCAAGTCCCACAACTGACCAAAAAAAAAAAACCCACAAACAAACAAAAAACAGTAATGAAATCATTAGAGGGAACTGTCACGAGATTGACAAAGAATTAAAGTCATGCAGACACTTGTTCTTTTTTTTTTTGGGGGGTCCGGTCGTGGGACCTGAACTCTGGGCCTGGGCGCTGTCCCTCAACTCCTCAGCTCAAGGCTAGTGCTCTACCACTTGAGCCACAGCGCCACTTTTCGGCTTTTTTCTTTTTGCTTATGTGGTGCTGAGGAATCAAACCCAGGGCCTCAAGCATGCAAGGCAAGCACTCTACCACTCTACCTCCCAGCCCCGACACTTGTTCTTTTTTGTGTGTGCTTGCCAGTATGGGGCTAGAACTCAGTGCCTTGTGTTCTCCCTTGGCTTTTTCACTCAAAGCTGATGTGCTACCACTTGAAGTTATACATTTCCTTGGGCTTTTTGCTAGTTAACTAGAAATAAGAGTCTCACAGACTTTTCTGCCCAGTCTGGCTTCAAATCACAGTCCTCAGATCTCAGCCTTCTGAGTAGCTAGGATTATGGTTGTGAGCCTGCTGCATCTGGCTAGACTCTCTTATTCTTGCATGGAATTATCAGAAAAGGCAACAATCAAGCTCCTGAAGGAATTGAGGATAAATAATTGGCTCTAAGATATTCTGATTTGGTATATTTACTATTTCAAGCTGAAAACCCTCCACTACATGATTTTTTCGTAGTATTAGGATTTGAACTCAGGGCCTTGCACTTGCCAGGCAGGTGCTCCACTACTTGAGCCACATCCCCTTTCAGCTGAAGTTGAAAGTACTTGAGTCCATAATTGTGCACATAAGCGTGTGTACACACACACACACACACACACACACGCTGGTCCCAGGGCTTGAACTTAGGGTCTGGGTGCTGTCTTAAGCTTTTTCTCCCCCTCAAGGCTAGCAGTCTACCACTTGAGTTACAGCTTCACTTCTGGATTTTTTGGTGGTTAATTGGAGATAAAGAGTCTCACAAACTTTCCTGTTCAGTCTAGTTTCAAACTGTGATCTTAGATCTCCCCCTCCTAAGTAGCTAGGATTACAGGCCTGAGTCACCAGCCTCCAGACTTTCTCTTTCCTTTTCTACAGAGAGCAAGCCATAAAAATTCCTTTGAGGAGGGTACCTCCCTTGCACCAATGCCAGAAAGGCTGGAAGTGGGCACTGTTGCCTGGATGGCTTCTGCAAACAAATTTGGTGAAGCAGCAGTTGTATTAGCTTTACACTTTCCCAGGACAGCTCAGCCACTCCCCCACACATCCCCAGCCCAGATCCATTTCTCATTTTCTATCTTCACGTTCTCCTTTGTAAGCACTATAAAAGCTTCCTGTGTTGGCCCTTTCTCAAATGACTCATTCTCCTGTGGGTCTACATGTACATGTAAAAAATAACACTTGTAATGCTTTTCTCTCCTTCATTTGCTTAATTTCATCATCACTAGTTTCATCAGTGGCTTCAAATTCCAACCATCTAAGCTCATATGTTAAATAAGTATGAATTTTATTTTTGTCTACAAATACCCAATCATTTATGTAAGTTTATACTTAATTAATGAGATCATATACTTACAATTTTTCTTATTTGCATAAGTTAATTGTACAAAGAAGTTTTGTTGTATCATTTCCTATACACTTATCATATACTTTATCAAATTTACTTCTAGTATACTTTTTCTTTTTTTTGGTCAGTTGTAGGGCTTGATCTCAGGGCCTGGGCACTATCCCTGAGCTATTCTGTTGAAGGCTAGTGCTCTACCACTTTGAGCCACACCAGTTTCGGGTTTTCTGGTTGATTGGTAATAAGAGTTTCACAGACTTTCCTGCTCTGTTTGGCTTCAAACTTTGATCATTTTATCTCAGTCTCCTAAGTAGCTAGGATTACAGGTGTGAACCTCCCCTGTTTTTTTTTTTTTTTTAAGTATTCAGTGAGGTTTCCTTTTTTTTCCCCCCCTGCTGCCCTAGGGCTTGAACTCAGGGCCTGGACCCTGTCTCTGAGTTTGTTTTTTGTCCCTGAGTTGTTATGCTCGAGTAGCATTCTACCATTAGACCCACAGCTCCACTTCCAGCTTTTCTGGTGGTTAATTGCAGGTGAATCTCATGGACTTTTCTGCCTGGGTTAGCTTTGACCTGCGATCCTCATATCTCAGCATCCTCAGTAGCTAGGTGTATGCTACTGGTGTCCAGTGTCCTTAGTCTTTTCATAATATATGTGTAATATACTTGATCATATTCACCTCTCAGCACCCTTTCTTCCTTTCCCCGTCTCATTGGTTCTCCAACGAAACACTCATATTTTATTTTTGCCAGTCCTGGGGCTTGAACTCTGGGCCTGGGCGCTCTCTTTGAGTCACAGCATCCTTTTCAGCTTTTCCTGAGTTTATTGGAGATAAGCACCTAATGGATTTTCTTGTCCAAGCTGGCTTCATTTTTTATTTTTTTAATTTTTGGGTCCGGTTGTGGGGCCTGAACTCTGGGCCTGGGTGTTGTCCCTCAGCTCTTCAGCTCAAGGCTAGTGTTCTACCACTTGAGCCACAGCGCCACTTCTGGCTTTTTTCTTTTTGCTTATGTGGTGCTGAGGAATCGAAACCAGGGCCTCAGGCATGCAAGGCAAGTGCTCTACCACTGAGCCATCTTCCCAGCCCTTCCAAGCTGGCTTCAAACTGGGATCTTCAGATCTCAGTCTCCTGAGTAGCTAGGATTACAGGCATGAGCCATTGACTCGTGACTAAAACATTCATACTTATTAACATGTCATATGATTACTTCTATTACTACTGTTTTTTTAGGTCCATGACGTGTGTGTGTGTGTGTGTGTGTGTGTGCTGGTCCTAGGATTTGAACTCAGGGCCTGGATGCTTTCCAAGCTTCTTTTGTTTAGGGTTCTACAACTTGAGCCACAGTCCACTTCTGGCTTTTTGGTTGTTAATTGGATGAGTCTCATGAAGTTCCTTGCCTACGCCGGCTTTTAAAGCATGATCTTCAGACTTCAACCTCCTGAGTAGCTGGTCTATAGATGTGAGCCACCAGCACCCAGCAA